GAAAGATTGTACTCCTTTATTGTGTATGGTATGTCTTTTGTTGGCTAAGTGATGGGGGAAGATTAATCTCCTTTGTATAAGTGTGATTGATATCTTTCTTCTCATTCTTTAGAGCTACCATATTAATTTATTTGCAATTTTCTTGCTATTCTCTGTCTTAAGACTTTTCCATTTGATAACTCAGTAAGCATTCATTTCTCGACTTTTTCTTGTGTTTGTGATTGTGATTCTTGCTTTCATAATGGTGATTCATTATGTGTGTTACCGGATTGTTATTTATTGGTTTCGTTTAGTTCATGGAGTTGCTTTTCAGTTGAATCTTTGTTATTTTATTCTTGGATTTTGGATATTCTTATTTGGGTTGAACCTTTAATGTGCTCTCTCTCTCTCTCTCTCTCTCTCTCTCTCTCTCTTTTCTCCCTCATTGTCATGCATTTTTATTCTCAAATTGATGTTGCATTGGTTTACTGCATTGAATGAGTTGTGATTCCTTATTCACTACAATTTCAAAGTTATTTCACGTCGTTGGATAAAATTGTGGAGTCTTTTGTTCATACTTTTTCCAAGCTATGATTTTTTAGTTTTTATTGACCATTTTTTTTTATGGATAATGTGCTTCTTCAACTCTGGATGAAGCTCATATATATTCTTGAGAAAATGGAAAAAGGGAAATTTGAGTTTTGAACTTGAGAAAGTTGCAAAATACAGTTATATGGAGACACCAGAAAATGGTTGCAGATGAAGAGATATCAATAAATAGAAATCCCATCGGAGCTTTTGACTTGAATGGAACACAACACTGGATGTTGAAGTTATTTCATACTTTTATTCATCAAGTTATTTGATTTATTTTTCTCTATAAATTTGCTCGCTTTTGGAAGACAATTATGAATTTTGTTAGTGATCGTCTTGTTCAGCAATTTAAATTAGAGGCAAATGCGGACTGAAGAACTAAGTTCTGTGATCATTTGGGTTAGAACTTGGTCAGTGTATAATTGCAAGAACTTAGAGTTTTCTGGTTTAGTCTTAGTGCAGGTTTTGAAGAACTTGCCAAGCTCTTGTAAAATGCAAGTTTTTGGCTTGGCTTTAGTTTTTTCTCTGTGACTTCTTCTTGGGTTAGGAGTTCGTCTCTGTTGATTGCTTTATGTATTTTAAGTTTTCTTTTTTTGGTTTCAGGTTTTGTTGATTGTAAGTTTTAGGCTACAGGTTTTATATTTTCATTTGATTGAGGTCAATATTCTATGAATATCTTTTTCGGTGCATTTTGTAGTTCTTACAAGATCATGGGTAGGAGCATCCAATCATCATGTTGTATTTAGCAAATCCAATTGGTTTTGACCACACTTCAATTAGTTTTGAGCATGATAGCATTTAGTCACGGTTTTGAACCTTAATTAGGTTGGGTGTTTGAAACAGTGAAGTGGTTTTTGGGACACGAGAGACTTTTAGCGACAAAAAGTGGTTTTTTAGAGGCAACAGTTTCAAACCTGGAGATAAAATGCGGGTATTTGTAGGTAAGTTTCAGACGGTTTCGAACCTTGAGATAAATGACCAATCTAACTGTGACTAAATGCTATTGTCCTCAAAACTAATTGAAGTGTGGTCAAAACCAATTGGATTTCCAATGACTTAATACAACATGATGTTTGGATGCTCCTACCCATGATCTTGTTAGAGCTACAAAATGCACCAAAAAAACCCAGATATTCATAGAATATAGACCTCAATCGATGAAAATATGAAACCTATAGCCCAAAACTAACAATACCAATACTTGAAATCAAAAAGAGAAAATTTATAATACGTAAAACAATCAATAGAGATGAACTCCTAACCCAAGAAGAAGTCACAGAGACGAAAACTAAAGCCAAGCCAAGAACTCGCATTTTACAAGAGCTTGGCAAGTTCTTCAAAACTTGCACTAAGACAAAACCGGAAAACTCTAAGTTCTTGCAATTATACATTGACCGATTTCAAACCCAAATGATCACATAATTCAGTTCTTCAGTTCGCATTTGCCTCTTAATTTAAATTGCTTAACAAGATGATCGCTACAACAAAATTCACAGTTGTCTTCCAAAAGCGAGCAAATTTATAGAGAAAAATAAATCAAAGAACTTGGTGAATAAAAGTATGAAATGACTTCAACATCCAGTGTTGTGTTCCATTCAAGTCAAAGCTCTGATGGGAATTTCCATCCATTGATATCTCTTCTTTTGCAACCATTTCTGGTGTCTCCATATAACTGTATTTTGCAACTTTCTTAAGTTCAACACTCAAATTTCCCCCTTTTCCATTTTCTCAAGAATATATATGGGCTATGTCTAAAGGTGGTTGTGTATCATTTACAGCTTTATCCAGAGTAGAAGAAGCACATTATCCATAAAAAAACAGCCAACAAAAACTAAAAAATCATAGCTTGGAAAAAGTATGAACAAAAGACTCCACAATTTTATTCGACGATGTGAAATAACACTGAAATTGTAGTGAATAAGGAATAAGGAATCACAACTCATTCAATGCAGTAAACCAAGGCAACATCAATTTGAGAATAAAAAAACATGACAATGAGGGAGAAAAGAGAGAGTGCACATTAAAGGTTCAACTCAAATAGGAATATCCAAAATCCATGAATAAAATGACAAAGATTCAATTGAAAAGCAACTCCATGAACTAAACGAAACCAATAAATAACAATCAGGTAACACACATAATAAATCACTATTATGATATTAAGAATCACAATCACAAACACAAAAAATAAGTCAAGGAAGGAATGTTTACTGAGTTATCAAGTGGAAAAGTCTTAAGATAGAGAATAGCAAGAAAATCGCATATTGATTAATATGGTAGCTCTGAAGAATGAGAAGAAAGAGATAACCACACTCATACAAAGGAGATTATTTCTCTATCACTTAACCAACAAAAGACATACCATACACAATAGAGGAGTATAATTTTTCTTCCTCACCTAAACAAAGCAATAATCTTTTTATTTTCTAAATAATGGGGGCATTCTTTATCTTAAAGGATCTACATGGGTGACTTTCTCAATCTAAAAGGATTGCTCTCCCTCTCCAAGAAATACAAGTGATTGTAATTTTATAAAGATGCTGGAAATAAGTAGGGAAATTTATATATGGACCAGGTTATTTTACAGTTATAACTGTATGACCCAAAAATTGTCCGTTCTACCAGGAAGGATGCCTCCACTATTTTTTTAAATTTTTTGTCAAGTTTGCCTCTGTCCAATGTTTCAAATAGCAGTTTTTTGCTACTGTATATGCCATCTCCTTATACTGGAGAAGTTGTTGTTACTGTTCTAATGGATTTATTTATGCAATGGAATATTGAAAACAAGTTGTTTAGTGTAACTTTGGACAATGCATCATACAATGATGTAACTGCATTATCTCTAGTTACTCGATTGTCTTGAAAAACCGTACTAGTATTTGATGGTAAGATGTTCCATGTGTGTTGTTGTGCCCATATTTTAAATCTTATTGTGCAGATGGAATAGGGGTAATACATGAGATAATTAACAAGATCCAATATATTATCAAGTTCACTAAAGGATCCTAAGGAATGCAAGAAATATTTAATAAGGGAATCAAGTTCCTTAGGATTGAAAGCAAAACAAAAAATGTCTTCATATTCCAACTCGATGGAACTCAAAATAAATGTTAGAGACTACCTTTGAGTTAAAAGTGGCATTTATTGCTTTTCTCAATGGGAATCAATGTTTAATTTGGTTCCATCTGAGGCTGATTGGGAGAAAGCATGACATACTTGTAATAGTTTGAAATTGTTTATGATGCTACAAATGTTTTTTGAGGATCCAAGTATCCAACTTCTATGGAAAAGAAGTTTGACAAATATTGGAGGATATGCAGTTTGATGATTGCATGTGTTGTTGATAGTCGGTATAAAATTGCATTGGTTGATTTCTATTATCAAAAAATATATGTTGATGAAGCAACACAAGAAATTATGATGATTGGACAAGGGATTTGTAACTTATATAGAGGGTCAAATGAATCATCTAGAACCAATATTGGAAGTACTTCAGTTGGCAACCAGTCTTCTACTCACTGTGGCTCTGCTACTTGTCATATGAGAGAGATGGAATATCAAAGATTCATTCATGAGCATTCTATTAGTATGCTAATAAGATCAGAATTGGACATACATATGGAGGAACCTATCTTTCCAAAACCACTGTTGAATGAAGAGTTCCATATCTTAATTTGGTAGCGAGCCAATGCACCAAGGCTCCCCAATCTCTCAAAAATGATACTTTGGTGATTCCTATTTCCACAGCAGCATCCGAATCAGTGTTTAGTACTGGGGGACGGGATTTAGGCCAGTATCGCAGTTCCTTGCTTCCATCAACCATGTAAGCATTTATGTGTACCCAAAATTGGCTGCAGAATGTTTTAGAAGCTAAAACAATTTTAATTTCATAATGTTGTCGATTGATTGTTTTCCATATTTGTTGATTTCTAGAACTTAAATTTTATCATTCTATTTGTGTTTCAGTCTTAGGGGGTGCATGGGCATCATCTTCTAACACTCCCGCGTCTATTGTTGATGATGGAGTTGAGGAATGTGAATGAATATTGGACAAGTGAATCTTTTCCTATGTCTCAGGTTTTAATTATGTAATATCTTTTTATGTATTTCACGACATTTCTGAGTTCACTGTTTACTTTGTTAACAATGTTACCAAGTTACTGTGTTTACTGTTAAATGTCATTGTCACATTATGTGTGCGTAAGCACACTGTTGATTGTGTTAACAACTGCTGATTTTACTGATTTCACAATTAACTGTGTGCATTAACAAACGATTAATTGAGTTTACAGTTGTTGGTTTTACTGATGTCACAATTAACTGTGTGATTTCTATGTTATGTTTGTGTTAACACATTATTAATTGACTTAGCAGTTGCTGCTTTGGATAAATTTTTGAAATGTGTATTGTCATTGGGATATCTGCAGCAATTGGACAAAGTAGAAAGAGCACGAAAGCCTCCTTCGATAAGAGAGCACGCATGCGTGGCCGGCTTCGTCCACTTCAACTTATTAGCATTAGCTGCACTCCGTAGGTAGTTTGGTGGAATTAGATGAATGAGGAGTAGATGAAATTAGGTTGGGCAATCCTAGTATGCATCAACATCTTTAGACAACTGTTCTTCCTCAGCAACATACATTTAAGAATTGCCTTTGTTTCAAGTGGAAAGGTTTTGATGCATTTTGTTTGAACATCTTCATTTATGATTATGTAACTAACATGGAGGTAAATGAGGACAGCCAACAATAGTCTCACCATAAATTTAGTGTAATACTCCAGGTTCTCTTTTCACCCTTAGAACCCTCAGAGGAACGTGAAATTTATTGAGCCATCTTTGACAAGCATGTTCAATCTATATGTTCATTTGGCAATATGTTAGTGAATCTGATCTTATTGGGATTAAATATCATGTAGGGTGTTTGATAATGCATTATGTCCTACATTTCTGTATTATGGTGGTTTGTTATTTATTTACTTATGTTAATGGTGGTTTATTTTTTCTCTTTGTTATTGTTGGATTGGAAGAGGAAGAATGGGACTGTATCAATTGGAGTAGTTTTCCCCACCGAAAAAGCACTTGCTGCTGGCAGGGAAGGGATAGTTCCAGAAATCTAGTAAATTTTTTTTGAGATTATGTTTTTTTTTTGGAAGTTCTCTATGGGGCTGTAGCAATTGGAGTAATTTTCTCTCCTCGGAAAAGCAAGGAAATCTAGCAATTGATTTTTGAGATGATTGTTTGTTATAGTCACAGATGGACTTCTTTGAAATGGAATGATGTATATTGAGGAAAGACTTGAACTGGTTTTTAAGAGGGGAGGAGAGAGAGAGAGAGAGTGAGAGAGTGAGAGAGAGAGAGATGTATATTGATGAAAAATGGTTATTGAATTTGTGTTTGTGTTAAGAGAGAGAGAGATAGAATCCTTAGTATGTCTTTTTATTTGCAATCCCATATGTAATTGTTAATTGGGGTTGATTGAGACATGAAATCATGTGCTATGTGTTTTGGGAGTTGATTTGGATCTTGTTGCACTAAAGAATTAAAGCAACTTGCACCTATGTGGAAGAAGCAATTTGTTAAATGGATGAATAGCCTCTAAGTCTATTGCCATTGAATTTATTTAATAGTCATAGCTAGTCATCCATCTTTTAAATTGTATTAGGTATTTCATAACTTTTTACCTAAAAAATATTGGGCAGGTTTTTTACATATATTGGCATTGAATTTACATGTTTTTCATAAATTTTTCACTTTTTCAGTGGCTTGAAATCATCAAACTGGGTTTCGGGTTGGGTCAGGGCAACCCGAATAGTAACGCAACAGGTACAGATCGGGTCTTGGGTCCTAATGCATGTTCTTGGTACGGGTACGGGTATGTCCGGGTCCGAGTATGGGTCCATCTAGTGTTATTTCGGGTTCGGCTATGGGAACAGCCGGACCTGACCCGTATCCACCCCTATCTTCATTAGATAATAGACTGCAACTCTTCTCCCAACGTGCTGAATAATGCCCTTCCTGCTCCCACTTGTCACCCCAAACCTACCTAAAAACCTACTTTTAATCATCTTGAAATGTGAACTATTCTAGGTTAACCACCTCCATTACTCGATCCCCTTCTTAACATCCTACTAGTTCATCATCTAGATCCACTTGCTTTGTTTCTTGCAAGTCCCTTCACCTCCATACAGCCACTCTTGGAAATCAAGGACAAACTGCTTTTGTTGGCTATTTGTTGAGTTTCCTTTATAGTGTCCAAAGAACAACCGAGGTGGACTGCTATATTTTTAGTAAAGTTGCACAATGTTGAGCTGTGAAGATCATGGATATGTCTACCACATGATTAGTAATATTTATAAATATGTCCGAAGCATGGAGGGATGCATGTGTCAAAAATATCATAAAAAAGTCAAAACAAGAAGACAATTAACACAAGCTAGGCGATACAATGTGAAAATCAAAAGTTTCAGTTGGGAATGTAGGGCATCAACCTCATTGCCATTGGAAGCATTGCCAATGCAGTAGGAACCTCTCGACCTAGTCATAATGGATCACTATTAAATCCTTCACGGTAAGACCTGGTTCAAGTATTATCATCATATCATCAGGAATATTTGACTCCATGATCATTTGCTTGACCTGCTGCTTCTGCAAGAAGCTTTCCCAACAAAGTAGAACAGAACTCAGCTTAACCAATTGGAATAACATTTTATTTTTATTTTATTTTTTTAACATAATCCACTACTACAATACCATTGACAACCCATTATCTTCATTCCCACCCGTAGTAAACATTGTACGACCATATCCACTCCATTAATCTAAAGAACAAGCTCAACTACCGGTCCTTCCGCAAATGGTAATTCACAAGCAATGAATTCTCCACAAGCAATGTCATTCTCCCAATCCAGAGTATCAATAAATCACCGGCTTCAAGCCTGACACTTCAATGGAAGAACAAAAATACTTCTTCCAATGAGTATATTTACAAAAAACTCACTAAATTGTTGATTGCTATGGTCATCGGTTTTCAACTCATTATCTTTATACATAGAAATAAGTATAGAGCAAATTGTCAGATTTGCTGTGGGAACCAATGGCCATAAAATATTCATCTTCATTCAAATGTATCAACAACAAATGTGGTGGAGTGAATCAGCAATGAAACAGTTCATATTCATAATCATGGTCGTCTAAACAAGCATTAGGGAAACATATTAGAGTGTGAATACTATATCCAATCTCTTTTCCCTATTATCAACCTGGCATAAGGGTGAGGGAGAGAGACAACACAGAGAAACTCTAAGGGATTGCAGATAACAAGAAACCAGGTCACCAGTCAATCATAAATCCCATATACAAAAAGTAAAATACTCAAAAAAGTACATTTGAGTACCATCTCATCTACAAGAGAGAGACTAAACAAAGAGCACTTGAATACTATCTCATCCAAGGAAGAGAGAGAGTGAGCAGGCTGAAGAGAAAGGTTGAGAAGGGGAAAGCATCATACCATCTCAATTCTTGCGATCCTCTACTACAACAATCCAAAAACCAAAAGGAAAGATGCCACTTGCAATTCTTGCAATTCTCTTTATATGTCTTGTTCCCTATTACACTACTGTGGCTACGATCATACCGGTCTTGCGAGCGTATGCAAAGATCCCGCCAGCCTCAATCACCTGCCCCGCATCCCTGATCGGCTTGAGCTTATACTCCTTCCCAGTGGTGTGGTTGGTCCCTCTCCTTCTCCATCTCCACAGTCAACAAATCCCTCGTCTTGCACTCGTTGCAAAGCCTCCCCTCTGCGGATTCAAGGGGGTAAATTTCCCCAGTCGCCACTGAATTCCTGAAGAAGATGCGCGCATAGGACTCGGCCACCACGGCCTTGACGCCTAACGCACCTAGGGCAGCAGGGGCATGCTCCCTCGAAGAGCCGCACCTAAAATTGGCCCCCGCAATGATGATGGCATAGCGAGACAAGGGCTGCCTGGGTGCCACGAAGCTAGGGTACCAAGAAGGGAGCCCCTACGAGTGCCAGGCTCCCCAGCTTCGTATACTTCTTCGGGTTCGAAGGAACGAGGGTTAGGTACTTCACCGGGATGATCTGGTCCATGTCGATGTTGTCGTCCAAGACAAAGTGCTCGCTGTGAAATACTTTTTTTGATGCCTTCTAAGGCCGAGGAAGAAGAAGAAGAGGCAGTGCGGAGAGTTAGAGTGGGGGAGTGGTTGCAGCAACGTGAGAGAGGAGGAAGGCCAAGAGTAGCGGAGGAGAGGAGGTCAAGTAGAAGGCGGAGCGAGGCGGCGGGTTGGGGCGGAGGAGAAGCTAAAAGCGCATGGCGGTGGCTACGTGGCCTTAGATGCCATGGTTGCTGCCGTGTGTCTGTTTGACTGCTGCTTTACAGGTGAGAAAAACTTATATATGGACAAGCTCTTACTGTGTCATTGAGGTCTCAGTGAGGGGGAAAATGTTAGGCATTCAGAGTGGGGAATGTTAGGCATTCAGAGTGGTAGGGTTGTGCATTCTAGTTGCCTTTATTTCATGACACCTTTAGCTGCCAATGGGTTTGAGGAGGCAATTCCTGCTAGGCTTTCTTGGGGACTTAGCACGTGCTTCTTGTGAAGAGGGAGGAATTTTTGGCCATGACCATTCAGACTGATTTGGCCTTCCTTTTCCTACCTTCCTGTTGTCTTTTTATTAGTGTGGTAGATGTGGATTTCTTGCTGACATGATATGGTGAATTAAGGTTCCTCTCTAGAGTGAAGAGATTTTTAAGGCCAGTGACATTTGAGGTTTGTTTTATGTATGTGCTATAGGAATTGAGACGTATGCCTTGCATTTACATCTCCATTAATGGGCTTATTGTGGTTTTTGGCCTCTTGAGTTGGACTACTTGTTTTTAGTGTTGTGTTTAGCAGGGTTTGGAATTCCCTTTTTTGTTTTTTTGACATGAGTAGGGATTTAGTATTTTTGGTGCATGCTTTTGTGTTTTCTGTTTCTGTTTGGTACATGTGGGGAGTTAGGAGAGGGAAAATTTGTTTTCTTGGGGCTTGGCTGAAATGTTGGTGGTTTCCTACAGTTGGATTTATGCATAGGTGGTTCCTTTGTTGGGTCATGTGTTAAAGGGGAAAGGGGATTGTACTGGGTGATTAGAGGTTCTTGTTGTTCATTTTCGTCCTTTTTTTTTTCTTATTCATTTTTGTGAAGTGGCCAAATAAGGATTCTACTTACGGTGACTTTAGTTCGCCTGTTTTGAATAAATACATTGAATATAAGATTGGTTTCAGGAAGATGGCAGCCTGATATATTTTGAGTTGGTTTCTACTTGTATAAGATGTTTGTGTATTTTGGTTTTTGGTTATTTGATCTGTTTTGGTTATTTCAATTCCTTCGTATTTAATAATTCTGTTACTGACCTATGGTTATTTGATTTGATCCTTTGTGGCTGGAGTTTATCGTATTGGTTCTTTGCTTTTCAACTTCTGGGATTTGCTTATTTGAGTCATTCTAACGATGACTTCAGCAAAGTGTTAACAACATAAAGATATAAAAATACTGAAAAAGCAGGAAACGAATGCAACTTCTCATGAAAAATTGGTCATAAGGCCCTTTATTAGATAAGATTGATGAGTAAACAGAAGCTCACCTTGTGTTTTTCTTCTCTTCTTTCAATATGAACCCAATAACCAAAGTAATGAGTAAAACCTTTGCTGCAGTAGGAGATGCCACCACAACAATGATTGGAATTGCTTGTTAAAAGGTAGGGGTTTTCATCAACACTGTCAAGTTCAAATGACCTACAGAATCAGATGAAAGGGGACCTAAGTGAAATATATTAAGGATGTGACAAGTGTTATGCTTGCATTTTTATCCACAATGTCCTTGAAACTTCTCAACTTTGATTGTTTCTTTTGTCTTCTTTTTTGTCTTATTCATTCTTATAAACTGGCTAATCAATGATTATACTTTTGTTTTGTGGTAAACTTTTCACAGTAGGAAAAAGTAATTTCGTTGTTTTTTTTGATAAACAGTTTTCTATAGAAACCTTGCCCCTCATCCCTCCCTTCAAACTTTCGTCTCTGCACTCCGGGTAAATTTCACAGTTTTCCAATTCTTCTTTTCATCTGGTTTCTTGTACTACACAGGTGACAATTATAACCATTTTGTGTCCCCTTTTTGTGGGTTCTAGACAATCACGGATAATATCTTTTTTTTTCCCTCCCTTTTGACGTTTCTCAAAAGTTCCCCTTCTGATCCTCTCTCTCTAGTGAAGCTAGTGGACGCCACTAATGTCTGAGATGCTAGAACCTGTGACCTCTCTTAATTGTTTGCACAAGGCGGAGGCTTTAAATAATCAAAATAAAACACACTTTCAAATAGTGTCGAGAAATGTGGTTTTAATACTGAAAATCTTTGTGATAGCTTTAAATATTATTTTTATCTCTAATTATAAAATTTAAAGTTTAAAAATAGTGTAGATCAAGGCAATCTATGAAAACTTGAAAATATTGAAAATTAACATTCCAAAAATGCATTACAATGCACAATTTCCAAAGCTTGTTGAAATGACTAGTTTGTGAAATTTTTGGGCATCAAAACATCCTCTTCTAGTAAAATTTTTGAAGTGCGCCTTAATTTGATTGTTTATAGCCTCACACTCACAAATTTTTCCCCCCCACTGACACAGTAACAGCCCGTCCATTTATAGGTTTTTCTCACCAGTAAAGCGGCAGTCAAACAGACACATGACAACAACTATGGCATCAAAGGCCCTGCAGCCGCCACCATGCGCTTTTAGCTTCTCCTTCGCCCCTACCCACCGCCTCGCTCCACCTTCTGCTCGCCTTCCTCTCCTCCGCTACTCTTGGCCTTCCTCCTCTCTCTCACGTCGCTGCAACCACTCCCCCACTCTAACTCTCCATGCTACCTCTTCTTCTTCTTCCTCAACCTTAGAAGGCGGCGAGGCAGTAGAAAAAGTATTTCATGGCGAGTGCTTTGTCTTGGATGACAACATCGATACGGACCAGATCATCCCGGCAGAGTACCTGACCCTCGTTCCTTCGAACCCAGAGGAGTATGCGAAGCTGGGGAGCTTGGCGCTCGTAGGGCTTCCTTCTCGGTACCCTAGCTTCGTGGCACCCGGGCAGCCCTTGTCCCGGTATGCCATCATCATTGCGGGCGCCAATTTTGGGTGCGGTTCGTCGAGGGAACATGCCCCTGTTGCCTTAGGTGCGTCAGGCGTCAAGGCCGTGGTGGCTGAGTCCTATGCACGCATCTTCTTCAGGAATTCGGTGGCGACTGGGGAAATTTACCCCCTTGAATCTGCAGAGGGGAGGCTTTGCAAAGAATGCAGAACGGGGGATTTGGTGACTGTGGAGATGGAGAAGGAGAGGGGACGACTTACCAACCACACCACTGGGAAGGAGCATAAGCTGAAGCCGATCGGGGATGCGGGGCCGGTGATTGAGGCTGGGGGGATCTTTGCATATGCTCGCAAGACCGGTATGATTGTAGCTGCAACTATGTAATAGTGAGCAAGATATATAAAGAGAGAGATGAACTAGTAGAAAACGTTGGTTTCTTTCTGGTATTTGTGTTTGTAAGTGGCAATTTTCCTTTTGGTTTTTGGATTGTTGTAGTTGAGGATTGCAAGAATTGAGATGGTATGATGTTTTCTCCTTCTCAACTTTTCTCTTCAGTCTGCTCTATCTTTTTCTTGGATGAGATGGTATTCTAGTGCTCTTTTTATAGTCTCTCACTCTTGTAGATGAGATGGTGCTTAAATGTACTTTTTTGAGTATTTTACTTTTTGTATTTGGGATTTCTAGTTGACTGATGACTTGGTTTATTGTTATTTGCAATAACCTAGAGTTTCTTTGTGTTGTCTCTCTCCCTTTCCCTTATGCCAAGTTGATAATGGGGAAAAGAGATTGGACATAGTATTGGCACTCTAATATGTTTCCTTACTACTTGTTTAGATGACTATAATTATGAATATGAAATGTTTCATTGCTGATTAACTCCACCACATTTGTTGTTGATACATTTGAATGAAGATGAATATTTTATGGCCATTGGTTTCTGCATCAGATTTGATAATTTGCACCCTCTGTACTTATTTCTATGCATAAAGAGATTTGAGTTGAAAACTAATGTCCTTAGCAATCTATCATTTGATGAGGTTTTTTGTAATTGTACTCATTGGAAGAAGTATTTTTGTTTTTCATTGAGTTGTTAGGCTTGAAGCTGGTGATTTATTGATACTACGAATTGGGGGAATGATATTGCTTGTGGAGAATTCATGGCTTGTGGATTACCATTTGCGAAAGGAATGGTAGTTGAGCTTGTTCTTTAGATTAATGGAGTGGATATGGTCGTGCAATGTTTACTACAGGTGGGAATGAAAATAATGGGTTGTCAATGGTATGGTAGTGGATTATGTTAAAAAAATAAAAATAAAATGCTATTCCCATTGGTTAACCTGATTTCTGTTCTACTTTGTTGGGAAAGCTTCTTGCTGAAGCAGCAGGTCAAGCAAATGATAATGGTGTAAAATATTCTTGATGATATGATGATAATACTTGAACCAGGTCTTGTCATGACAGATTTAATAGTGATGCATTATGACTAAGTCTAGAGGTTCTTGCTGCATTGGCAACGCTTCTAATCGCATTGAAGTTGATGCCTTATATTCCCGACTGAAATTTTTGATTTTCACATTGTATTGCCTAGCTTTTCTCAACTGTCTTCTTGTTTTGATTTTTTTGTGATATTTTTGACACATGCATCTCTCCCTGCTTAAGACATATTTATAAATACCACTAATCATGTGGTAGGCATATCTATGATCTTTACAGCTCTACGTTGTGCAATTTTACTAAAAATATGGCAGTCCACTTCGTTTGTTCTTTTGGCATTATCAAGGAACATATTCAATAAGTTGCCAACAAAAGCTGTTTGTCATTGATTTCTAACAGTGGCTGTATGGAGGTGAATGGACTTGCAAGGAACAAAGCAATATGGAGGTGAATGGACTTGCAAGAAACAAAGCAAGTGGATCTAGAGGATGAGCTGGCAGAGATGTTAAGAAGGGGCTCGAGTAATGGAAGTGGTTGGGGTTAACCTAGAATAGTTCACATGTCAAGATGATTAAAAGTAGGTTTGTAGGTAAGTTTGCGGTGACAAGTGGGAGTAGGAAGGGCATTATTGTGCACGTTGAGGGATTTGTTTAAGAGAAGATTATTATGGAAGCATGGTAAGATTAGAAGTTGATAAAAATGAAAATGAGGGGTAGAGGCGAGTTTTATTGATGGAGGAAGTTGGAATATAGGTAAAGAACTATTATTTCTCACAACATGAATTTCTAGAACAAAGTGGTTTCGTTTATGTTGGGGGAGGAGTTGCGGTCTTTAATCTAATGAAGATAGGGGTGGCAATAGGTCGGGTTCGGTTGTATGTAGAGCCGAACTCGAAATTACACTAGATGGACCCATACTTGGACCCGGACGTAACGGATCTAGAGTGCCTTGTACCCGTACCCGTACCTAGAACATGCAGTAGGACCCAGGATCCGACCTGTACCTGTTGCGTTACTGTTCGGGTTCCTTTGACCCAACCCGAAAGCCAGTTTGATGATTTCAAGCCATAGAAAAAATAAAAAAATTATGAAAAACCTGTAAATTCAATGTCAATATATGTAAAAAACCTGCTCAATATTTTTAGGTAAACAATTATGAAATACCTAATACAATTTAAGCGATAGATGACTAACAATGACTAATAAATAAATTCAATGGCGATAGACTTAGAGGCCATTCATCCATTTAACAAATTGCTTCTTCTGCATAGGTGCAAGTTGCTTTAATTCTTTAGTACAACAAGATTCATAGTGCAACAAGATCCAAATCAACTCCCAAAACACGGATCGTATGATTTCATGTCTCAATCATCCCTAATTAAGAATTATATAAGGGATTGCAAATAAAGTCATTGTAAGGATTCTCTCTCTCTTTTAACACAAATATAAATTCAATTACCATTTTTAATCAATATACATCTCTCTCTCTCTCTCTCTCTCTCTCCTCCCCTCCCCTCTTTAAAACCAGTTCAAGTCTTTCCTTAATATGCATCATTCCATTTCAAAGTCCATCTGTGACTGTAACCAACAATCATGTCAAAAAAAATAGATTTCCTGCATCATCCTGGTTTAAAGAAAATATGCGTATGATATATGTCCCCTGGTCTTGGTCCAGTGTTATGTCACTGGTTGCATAAGCAGTGTAAAGGGTTCAAGCCTTGGTGTTATTTGTCCCCAAAAGAACTGTAGTGACCTACCTTGTTGTTCTGCACGGCATACAATTCCATCAGATTTGTTGGCTTCCTTGTTGATTATGATGTCTTTGGCTATTGCAGTGCACTTTTTTCCTTGATAAAGTAGGTTTAGGCTTATTATGATGTTGATATACTTGTCGATTGTGATTATCAAAAAAATGACATTACGTTGTGTTGTGTTTTGTTTTTTTTTTAACTTTATTAAGTGGCATGATTGTGGCATAACTCATGCCATGGTTACTCGCTGGCTGATAAGTTGACCAATACTACGACAATCCGGATCATCTGGCAGAATTGGGTGGTATGAATATAGGGAAATATGTTGCTGGTGGCATTGTTGTTTTCAATCTTGATACAAAGCAAGTCCAGTGGTTCACACCGCTAGACTTAAGCACAGAAGTTTCAAACAATTTTATGCATACTCTCAGTTCAAAAGTTGAACTATTAAACTACCAAAATATTTAACTCTTATTTAAATAGTTCAGACTTTTGAAACATGGTTAAAAGGGAAACAATGAACTAAAAAAATGTAAGACCTTTCCTACCATCTTTCTTCCCATTGGTGGGTAAATTTCTCTGGTAAAGTGAGCTCAGGCAAAGCAACTAGCATCCACTTTCACCAGGGGCTTCTAATCCTTCTTTGGAGGCAAGGACTGGAAGCCCTTAGAGGGAGAGTGAAGGTGAGTTGCCATGAAGATCTCTCTTTCCTTTGTTCCTATCCGGATAGATAGAAAAGGTGATGACACCTCAATTACTTACAGTGGCATCAATAATTTATCACACAAAAAAAAAACTTAATAGTGCAATCAATGGCACATTATAGTGAGCTAAGGCAAAGCAACTTGCATCCACTCTCACCAAGGCCTTCTAATCCTCCTATGAAGGTAGGGACTGGAAACCCTTGTATGAGAGTGAAGGTGAGGTGCCATGGAAATCCCTCTTTCCTTTGTTTCCATCTATATAGATAGAAGAGGTGAGGACACCTCAACTACTTATCGTGCCATCAATGGCACATTATTATGTGGGACCATGTAATCACAAGCATTTAGTAGACTAGAGATGATAAGGAGATCATTATTGTTTCTTATCCAATAATTTTTTTTTATTTATTTTTTTCATCTTCTTAGTAATCGACAAAATTTCCGACAAGCCTAAACATGGTTACTCTTGATCATACAATTTCGATAACTTCGAATCTAAAGACATCCTTCACAGCCATCTGATTTGAAATATGACGGACAAGAGTAATTGTAATATCTTTTTACTAAAAGTAAGTGGTCTCTTTATATATATTTCTTTAAGTAATATATGATTAGAAATGAAATTTGTACCCAAATCTTCAATTGTAAGGGACATACCATGGCGTTTAGTATGATGGATTAGCATGATTTTCGTTCTTGGTTGGCCTGATTAGCAAGGACTTTAATCATCCTGATTAAATATTCATTAGATGTGAACATATAAAATTTTAAAAGAAGCCAATCCAAAGAATGCTAAGAGGTTGACACTAATTAAGCATCCTACATTAAGTTTGAAATCTGTAAAGTTGGATCATGTTGTAGGGAACAATTTGCAATCAAGACGACTTCTTAAATAAAAAAGGAGAGAAAAATTAGATTTCATGGTATCTTCAAGTGAGATTAGGTTGTCACTTGGATGATATCATGGCTTCCACGTGAAAAATAGGTTGATCCCTTGATCACCTAAGGGCCTTGGAATAAAGTGCAAAAACACAAAATTAATTCCCTTTGGCATTCCTCTCAATCAAAATGATGAAGGTCAGAAGGCCTTCTCTATCCTTAATCTCATGTGCAATTATCTGCAAGAATCAAAATGGCTCGTATAGTTGACCCAAAGAAATAAAAATATAAAATGTTATTTTTTGTATGTATTGCAAAGTGAGTGCTTTAATTATGAAGTATGCATCATATTATCCATAATTCCATATTAAAAGAGTACCTTGCACTTAATATCCTATTTACAAGAAAATAAGGGGAAAGAAAATTATTAGCCGAATCAAAATTATGACATAATGATAGATTATCCATATAAGAAAGAGCACTTTCTATAATGTGTATTTCGAGAATGATTGATGTTACCCCAATTAGGAGTAGATAAGCTCCGGGTTATTCTCATGATCATCATCAAGGTATTTTTTTAATTATTTGGGATCGGCTACATAAATCATGGTTCTCCGAGTTACTCTATATTTTTTAAAAATTCATATACTATAGATTTTGCTTTTTTGGTAGGTAACCTCGAGAAAATGCTCTTAAAAAAAATAGTCTTTGCTGTCTTCTCTTAAATGTGTTAAACCACGTAAGGGTTGCACATTGGTTCATTTCCACTACTAACTGCAAATAATGAAGATGTTTTCAGGAAGAAAGTTTAAGAAAGTTTTTGCTTCATCAAATTTTGTAGGAATCTTCTTTGTCATATGCTTGAGTTGAATGGGTTTGTAAATATGTAAAGTTTTGAGCAACGTTAAAAGAAATAATTGATTATTTTGAGAAAAAGAAGAAAAACAATCATATAACGAGAATTGATTCCTTATCATATCTAGTGCAGTACAATGATTTGTGATCTCAAGGTCCCACATAATATTATT